TTTTTTTTTTCATTTCTGATGTTTCTCAATTGCTCTCCGATGCAGAGAAATGGGTAAACTTCATTCCAAACATGGTAAGACTTGGTATCTCTGTGGTATTTTGTAGAGCAAGTCTTTGATTTGAAAGCGCTTCTGATATAGTTCTTTCGAGTAATCCATTTATTCGACGTCTTTTCCTTTTAAAGCTGCTATTTGTAAAGCGAGGGAGAGTCCTGAAGGTGAGTATACTACTGACAAATAATAGAAATAAAAACGCTTTTATTTGAAACGGTTGAACTGGCTAAATGACTAATAAAACAAAGCTGCATCTTTGAACATTTGACGTAAACAAAAAGAAAAACGTTAGAAACCAACTTGAAAACTGTTTAACTGATAAATACACAATGGCACTGTGTATACATTGTATCTTCTTGCTCTTTTAGGCGATAGTTTTGTAGTTAACGCGTGTTTGGCGAGGAAAGGACCGGACGACTGGATGGTTAAGCAGAAGTATTACTGCGCGAGCTCTCGTGTAGATCAGCGGGACTGCCAGCAGAAAAATACCTGCAGACTGTCTCCACGGGTACGCGAGCGCTTTTAATAACTTTTCATCACACGTGCATGTTAAATGTGTGAAGGTTTTGGACCTCATTAAAGTCCAAGACTGCAGGAATCAACTGTTTGGGTGTTAAGTAATGAAATGTTGCGCACTTTGAAGTAAGGGATGCATGTACGGAACTCTTTCAAATGTGCATTTCCACTGATCAAAAACTTTGCTTTGTGTCGATAAACATCGTTTACAACTGTTTTTCTTTCCGTTGTTCTGCATGAATTCAGTTCATGGGTAAGGCTAGTTGACATGAAATATCAAGCAGCGGCAGCGGTGTGAGTCACGCGCTGTAATTGATCTAAAACTATTTTAAACAAAGAATTCCAATTATTCTGTAATTATATACATGCGATTTTATGACCTCGTGTTAACTGAGAGACTAAATGGAATATTTGTAAATTTAAGAATTAAGTCGTTGCATCACAGAACTAGCCTATTCAAAATGAACTAGTAAAGTAAAAAAAAGGTGGTTTTAAATGGGGATAAACTTAGGTTATGTTTACGCGTTAGAAAAAACACTTTTCTTTACGCACGTGTACATTTTAATGTCCATGTTGAATAAAAAAAGTTAATGGATATATTACAAGTCAGCTACGCTTATTGGGTTTTAGATGGTGAAAGCGTATATCAGCAATATTCGCG